CCGGGAAGGGTAGGATAAGTGGAAGCTTCCAGCTTTCAGGTCCCAGTTACCAACATTGCTTCTGCCGCAGGGAGGCCTCTTCTAAGCTTAGTAACAGACTTCTGAGTGTAAAGACAGGTCTACATTAGCAAGGTGAAGAGGGATGGGGCCTGAGGCTGCCCTCTAACTTAGGTGTTTGCTGCTCCTGCCTACCTGTCTACAAGAGCATCCCTTTCTCTTGCCATGTACTGGGGCCTCTGTAGACCTTCCTGACCTGCTTTTCTTGCCTACAGATCATTGGGCAGGTATACGCTGATCCTGATTGCCTGCCCCGCACACTGGACTTTGGCCTCAATGTAAAGCTTTTCTGGGAGAAGTTTGTCCCCACAGACTGCCCCCCAGCCTTCTTTCCCCTGGCTGCTATCTGCTGCAAACTAGAGCCTGAGAGCAGGTTGGTGACTCATCCCTTTCTCCCACCTCACAGCCCCGAGTTCTCGAGATGCTTGCTCTAGATCATCCCATGCCCTTCCCTGGCACAAGCAGTGACTTGAGCTCAAGAGTAAAACTGAACTCCTGGAGTTCCCCTGAACTCCTGGAGCTCCCCTGATAGCACTGACATGCCACATTGGGGAAAAGAGGGAGCACAGTAGCAAGAGCTGGACAAGATTGAGTCAAAGCAGTTCAGGGCTAGAGAGATGGTTCAGTGGGTTCAATTCCCAGCACCCACATGGCAGCTCACAACTATCTGTGAGCTGTTCCATGGGATCCGACACCCTCACACAGACATGCATGTAGTCAAAACGTCAATGTACATAAAATAAAAATAAATTATTTTTTAAAAAGCAGTTTTTAGAAAGAAAATCTGGGCTAGGTATGCAGATCTGTGATGGAGTGTCTGGAAGGAATGGGGCCATGGGTTCAGTTCTCAGCTCTGGGGGGGTCGAAGACTGGTGTGGCTAAGGAGTCGGGTTGCACCTTTAGCAAGTATGCATGAACAGACGCTCCACTCAACCATACCGCCTCAAAAAACATAAAACTTGCTTATAATTCTTAACATAGGGGCTGGGATGTAGCTCAGTTAGTACTGTACTTGGCTAGAATGCATAACCCTTGGGTTTGATCCCTGTCAATGTGGAAAACTGGGCATGGAAGTAAACACTTCTGATGCCAGGACTTGGGAGTCAGGAGGAGGGGAATCAGAAGTTCAAAGCCAGCGGGGCATGGTGATGCACACCTTCAGCCCCAGTGTTTGGTCGGCAGAGGCAGGTGGATCTCTATGAGTTCAACGCCGGGACCATAGGGAGTTCCAGGATAGCTAGAGCTGCACTGTGAGACCCTGACTCAAAAGGAGGGTGGGGCCCAGGGCTATCACTGTGACACAGCACTGGCCCAAGATGCTCAAGGCCCTGCGTTCTAGCTGTGGTAGCGCACAGGCAGCTGCACGCCGCCCACACATGAAGAGACCCTACCTAGGGAAGGACCATGGGCCTGTAGATCAAAGTAGACTGAGAAGCTCTCTTAGTTAATTGTCTGTTGCCATGACAAAATTCTCTATTTAATTGGGGCCCTGCTTACAGTTTCAGAGGGTGAGTCCCTGATCTTCGAGGTGGGGAAGGGTGGAGGTAGACAAGGCGGGCAGGCTGGCACTGGGTAGCATCATCTCATCCACAAGCAGGGTCTGGCATGGGGCTTTACAACCTCGAAGCCCACCCTCAGTGACAAGCCTGCCCAAATAAGCCACCTGTCCTAATCCTTCCCACACAGTTCCAGCACAGGAGCTTATGGGGCCATTCTCCCTCAAACCACCACAGGAGCCAAAAGTGTAGCTTAGTAACAGAGCTCTTGACTAACACAGGATAGGGCCTGGTGTCCTCCCTCCCCTGTTGTTGTTTGGAGGGGTGGGGACTCACAATTTTTCTGTTTGCATATTTGCTTTTGAGGCAGGATCTAGTCCAGGCTGGTTCAAATTAGATATGTAGTTGAAGGTGACCTTGAACTTCTGATCCCTTACTTCCACCGCCTGTCTTGTCAGGGTGCCAGGTGCACATCATCATGTCTAATTACTGTTCTGAGACTTGAGCTCAGGGCAAGCACCATCCCAACTTGGCCATCTCCAGCACCCAGGTTTCCTTTTAACGAATATGGAAGTCCAATCTTACCTTAATTGTTGCATTCACTCCAAGACATGAAAGGGCTTCTTTTCTCTTTGGCTGTTTTTGCTTGACCCATGACCCCTAGCATGGCTAGGCTTCTCCCAAGGTTACCTTCTGTATTTACAGCAAGAGGTGAAAGGGTTTGCCTGAGCTTGTAGAACCAGGAAATAGCTGAGAGCCAGCCCTATAGCCATCGCTCCAGCACTCATATTCTACCTTTCTCTTCTTCACCCCTCGTCTTTGCAGACCGGCATTCTCAAAGCTGGAGGACTCGTTCGAGGCACTCTCCCTGTACTTGGGAGAGCTGGCCATCCCACTGCCAGCAGAGCTCGAAGAACTGGACCACACTGTGAGCGTGGAATACGGCCTAACCCGGGACTCACCACCCTAGCCCTGGTCCATCCCCTGCATGGGGACATTCAGCAGCCAGCATTGCCCCCCTGCGCCCTGTCCTTGCTGTGAGCAAGACTGCCTGGGCTTCTGTGGACTGAAGGCTTACTTAGAAACAGAATAAGCCATCCCTACTACCTCCCCAGGAGGCACTTGGGCGCAGGGAAACAATTCTCCGCAGGTTTTGGGGCCTAGTTACTGTCTGTAAATCTAACACTCACCTGAAAGCTGTGAAGAAGATAAAAGAGCCTGGATTCTAGACCAAGAGTCTGTTACTAAGGACTACTTAGGACCTTTGTGGCAGTGAGATTCTGGGAGGCTGTAGCTTTATACTAAATCAAAATGACCTGGGCAGGATGACAGCATGAACTGGCCTGAGGGCTCTGGCCTAGCAAGGTGCGGGACTTGAAGCAGTAATGTAACAGAAACTGGGAGCCTTCAAAGCATGGGAAACGACAGTAGTGAGTTCTCCTTCCACCCCAGGCCATGCCCTTTGGAGCAGGTTTTGAAGAGTCTCTTACTATGTGGTGAAAACTACAGGATCCAGAGAAAGGACTGGTTACTGCTCACCAGCCCAGGGACCAAATCAGTGTGTGGGGAGTTTTCACTTCAACATCATGTCTCAACAAGCAGTCACTCACAAAAGCACCAAAGAAGCTGAGACTGGAAAAAAAGAGCCCCTTGCCCTCTAAAAGTCCCGTATCGTGGCTGGTGGGCTCAAAAGCTCAAGCCGTTGCCTAACACTAGATGGGTTCTGGAGCCCAGTGTGGTTTGTGTCAGACTTTGGGTCTAAGCAGAGAAAGGGGAGCCCCATCAATTTCCTGGCACCTTTGTGGCAGCTACTACACATCCTCTAGCATGTCTGCTCCAGGCAGCAAGTTGGGACAGGAATTGGTGGATGCTGAGATGTGAAGAGAGCTCCCTGAGCTGGGCCCTCTAGATTCTACCTCGATTGTTGCTGAGCCACACTCCAGGGCCAGGGCATTGGAAACCCTCGGGGCATCTTCCTCCCCGGGTGGGACTCTCCAGCTCACCAAGGTTTGCCATCTCTTAAGCGTGAACTCACACCATATTTAACAGATTGGGAATGGGTTTGGTTATAAATACGAGTGTTGGGTTGTACTGGTGGGGGATCTGGAAGAGTGGTTGCTGTTACTAGCTTTTATCTATGGGGTAATATGTGAAATACTTTGTACATAGACAAGATGAATTGTGGGAAGGGAACTCTTTGGCCACTTTTCCTTGCTGTGTAGACTGTGCTTGTGTGTGGAGTTTTCAAACTTGCTGTAGGGGGAATCCTGAACTAACAGCAGCATGGTTCAGCATCCTGTGACTGGTTATGCTTGAGCTGTCCACAGCAAGTGTGTGAGTGGTGGGCCCGTGCTGGGCCATGGAGCGGACTAAATAAATTAAGCAGTTAACATAGTAATGACACTGACTTAGGACCTGACTTAAACATGGAAGAGTGGGACAAATAATTACCAAGGTTTGGTTCCCAGTAATTCTCAACCATCTGTAACTCCATTTCCAGGGGTACTCATACCTCTTCTCATCTCTGTAGGTTACTCTACACACATGGTATATGTTCATGCTCTCAGGCACATACGTGGTCTGCTGGCCCCCTTCAGGCCTGAAACACATAACTTGCCACATCAGGGAATTCTCAGTCTCTAATCTCCTCTCCTAGACAGCAAGCCTTCAGAGATCATGCGAATCCACTTGAGGCAGCCCCTTCTGAGCTCTTAAGCTGTCTCTCAGCTGCCAACCAAGTCCTTAGGGGACTTCCGCTTCCAAAGCTGCTGCACCAGACCACTTGGCCAAATACTGCCACTGTTTGGTGAGATCCTAGGCACAAAAAAAAAAAAAAAAACCCACACCTATTAAGTCTACACTTAAGACACACAGGCTCAGAATCACCATGAAGTCTAGGCCAGCCTAGTCTACCTGGTGAGCTTGAGGCCAGCAAGGACTGCCTGCTGTGAGACCCAGCCAAGAGCTTTTTTCCTGCAAACCTAAAGATACTTTCTCCTAAGCATCCTGTGGATTAGCGTGCTTGAGCATGGGCAAGCTCAGCCTGGCTGGATATACCTAGGACTTAATCTGTTGCTGTGGTCCACTGCTAAAACTCTAGCACCACACCCTCCCATACACACAGCTTCTCTCCTAACCCTTCAGGAGCCACCCCTGCCCAGGCAGCCCAGCTACCCATTTCTCCCTTGGCTACCACAGAATTGCCTACTGCCCCTTGGTTTTTATCCCCCCCAACAAAGACTGCTGGGAAGGTTTGTCCTAATCTACCTTGGAAAGAAACAAGGCAGAGATGAAAGAGATCAACTTCCTGTAACTTCAACCTTAAGACAGTTTGTAGGGGTTCAGCTACCACCACCTCCCGGTGACAGGGCCATGTTGACGGAGAAGGCGAAGGTACAGACACGGTACTGGGGGAGCGTTCCAGCACCACAAACGTGCAAGGCATGGTTAGGTCTTGTGTTTATATGAGTCAAATGCAGAGCAATTTGCCATAGTTCATACACAGGTGTCAGATGAGGTATATAAAACACACAGAGAAATACTTTCATAGAAAAGTAGGAAGTAGTACTGTTCTCTTTCCCATAGTCCGTGCCACCATGGGAACCCTGAGGTCTAGGCCCCCTCAACAAATGGCTCCAGAGAGCAGCCTGGTGAAGGGAATGGACCACATCGTCCCCTCTCTGTGGGGGAGTAAGGGCCCCTGGTTGGGGACACCGCCAGGACCAGGAGGGCAGAAGCTGATTTGATCTTGGACGAGATACTTTTCCCTCTCTGGAAAACCCTTTAGGCCCTTCCCAGTGGTTTGGCGATTGTTTTCTACAGGTTACAATCCTAGCCCTGTGGAAGGCACAGGCCTGGAGGCCATAGGGCTGCCTGCAAGTGAGGGTGTGCTTCCATGCTTTTGTTGCCTAGCCTCTGACTTAGTCTCCAGGTTCACCTCTCAGAAGCAGCTTAGGAGACCCTCAGGTGTGGAATTCCCATGGGTTTGCTGGCTAGTCTCTTATCAGCACACAGTGAAGAGGTTCCTTACTCCACCCCCAAGAGGCAGTCTGGACACCCAAGTCTACTGCTGTGAGGCTGAAGGCAGACATGTGTCCTCCTGTGTCTTCCTAAATGGAAGGCTTAGTGCAATTCTTCCCTTTCTTTCCTTAAAAAACGGGAAGAGTCCCTTAGGCCCAGGCCTGGCCCGAAGTTGTCAAGGCACATCACTGCCGGCAAGCGGAGCATGCTCAGCAGCCCCCATCTAGAACCCATTTGCAGCCCAGAGTTCTGACTTTTGTACATATTTGTACATATTTCTGATTCTCAGAAGGGACTTCCACCCCCAATGCTATAATAATGTATTTTTAATGCTGCCTCATGCATGACCTGTTTGACCTTAACTGTGAATAACAGTATACGCCACTCAAGTTCCTGGATGACAAATGGAAAGGCTGAGGCCACCTAAGGTATACAGCATGGAGGAGCTTTAGCAAGCTCCTCATCTTCCCTGGCCCAGGCAGTGTAGAAGCCCTTATTTGCCACAGCACCACTGTGGTTACTGTGCCAGTCTCCGCAGGTAAATCCTGCTCCAAGGGATAGAAAAGGAGCATTGATAGATCCCTACTACCCAGCCTCTTCACCCTTACCCATAATGCTACCTGCTTCTGCTTGTGTCATGAGGACTCACATCCCCCCCCAAAAGAAAAATGGGATAAGGTTTTAACCACAACACAAAATGTAGCCCCTCCTAGCCGCAGGAGGGTGGCCTGTCCTGTATCAGGGTCAGCATGGGCACATGCCCACTGAAGGGGCTCAGGCCCCAGGGGTGCCAGCCTGGCCCATGAGGAGGGTGCTGCCCTCCTGCAGGTCAGCAGGAGTCTGGTTGCTGTGCACGATGATGGTCTTTTCATCCACGATCTCACAGGTGGGGTTGGTGAAGGCAGACAGGGGCAGGGTGATTCGCTGCATCTCCCTCTCACATGCTTTCTGCTCATGTTGCTCTTTCAAGTCCTTCCCCCTGTCAGGAAGAGAAAACATTAGCATGGCTTTGCTCAGTTAGTCTTCCTGAAGCTGAGCAGGAGCTCACCCTTGTCACAGTGAATGGCCTGATCAACAGGACTAACACCAGCCTAGGCTCAAGACACTGGCTAGACATCCTGCCACGCTGCCTTAAACGCAACAGGGCAGTGCTGCCAGCTCATCTCTGCCTCTCTATCTGTAAGGTCAGGGTGGCTGCCACATGAGACTCTCTGGGCATAATGTAGAATAAAGTAAGTTAGCAAGACAAGACTTTGTTTTCTGCCCGGGGGTCCCAGAGATCCAAAGAATTATCCAGGCTTTATCCTTTTTTTTTTTTTTAATGTTTTTTTATATTAATTACAGTTTATTTATTTACTTTGTATCCCAGCTGTAGCTCCCTCCCTCACTCCCTCCCAATCCCACCCTCCTTCCTTCATCTCCTCCCTGCCCCTCTCTAAGTCCCAGGCTTCATCCTTAACCAATGAAATTGTACAGAAAATATACCAGATCATCCTGCTACAAGACCTGCCTTTTTGGCAGGGCTGGTAAAATGGCTCAGTGAGTAAAGGCTACCACCAAGCCTGATGACCTGAGTTCAAAACAGAGAACCCATCTCACAAGTTGCCCTCTGACCTCTGTAACTGCAGTAGCAGGCATGCACCCGCTCTACCACAAAATAAGTTTTTGTTTGTTTTACAAGACTGCCTTCTCATCCTAAAGTCCTGGAAAGTGGGAATCCAGGCTGGAAATGAACCTTTCCCAACCCATGCACAGGCAAAAAGGACTCAGGTCTTCACAGATCAAGGGGAAATAATGAACATGGTTATCAAACCTCTCAAGTTTGTCAATGCCTTTGATTTCTTCTCTTCTGATAATCAGTGAGCCACTGGGTCACTGTGTTGCTCTGCTTATGTGCAATACTCCATGCCCAGGATATGTGTGTGTGTGTGTGTTTGTGTGTGTGTGTGTGTGTGTGTCATCTCACTTAATTCTCTATTCAGCCCTAAGATTTAGTTCTTATTCATTTTATAAAAAAAAGAAATGGCCCAGGGCATATTGGGATGCTCTAAGGATGCAGGATAGACTCTAGCAGTTTATTGGGATGTCTGCTCTTAAGAGAAGTTGTGACCCAGAGTCAGGCTCTAAGGTATGGTGGTACAGGGATTCAAACTTAGGCCTTCTGCCAGCACATGTAGGCCCTTCCCACTGCAGCCCTGTCCCCTGCATCATGTCCAATAAGACTACACGCCAAAGCCAGTGCAGAACCCAGGGCACATCCTCTGAAGGCAACAACTTGGGCTCAGCTTTCAAGAAAGTGCTTAGAAGGAGATGTGAACCAAGTGGGTGATAAAACACAGGAGAGGCCAGAGCAATACAGTAAGTGGGAATGCTCTCTGAGCGAAACCTCCACCACAAATCTCCTCAACAAACCCAAGAGTGAGAAGGCTGCAGAAGTGGGAAGACAAAGAGGCCACCACAGGTCCACCCTCTCTGCTTATGCAGTCACTTAGTGATGCTGGTGTTCATCAGCTGTTGCAGCAAAGCCAAGTGAAGGGCTGCAACAAGGCCTGCAGCATGGTGCTGGAGGATGTGAAGGAGATACAGACCCGAAGAGCACAAGAGCAAGAAGTCATCCAAGCCAGTCAGCAAGGATCACTGCATCTCCAACATGGCCCTGCTGGTATGTGCTGTGGAACTCGCTCATCACCAACAAGTAGAGTAGGACCCTCTTCCCTCCCTGAGAACCCGTGCCCTGCCCTGCCAAGACCTGCCCAGCACAACTGAAATAAAATGCTGTTTGTTCAAAACAGAACAAAACACAGATCTCAGGGTTCAGGTCTCAGGGACATGGCTATGATCATCTGTATTCTGCATCCATCATATGATGTACAACAATAAAAGCTGGAGAAAAAAAATACTGGAGGAGAACAAAGGAGCAGGGGCCTCAGGACTCTAACTAGCCGATTCCCTTTACTGCATATCCTAGCTCCAGCTCTGCCCATTTGTTTAATACTTGGCAAACAGCTCTCTGTGCCTTGGTTTCTTCATCTGCCTCAAAGATGTGAAATAATTTTAAAGCTAGTTGCACGAACTCCTAGGTTATGATGACTTGAATCAGCCCTGACTCACAAGGCAATATTGCCTTTATTTTCCTTAAAAGACCTCTCCCATTACCTAACCAAGGGAAGAACTATTCATCTCATCTAGTGATACCCTCCTCTCTTGGCCTTAATTTCACCACCTTAAAATAAGGACTTGGACATGACAGTCTCCAGAGTCCAGAACACTGTGTAAGATCCCCCCATGTGACATACATCTGATCCCCTAATTCCCATTGTTGGGGCACAGGAAATTGGTAAACTCATCCTCCTGTGGCACCTGGATGACTAGGGCAACCAAGTTTCTCAATAGGCAAGCCCAGGCCTGGCCCATTCTTCTCATTAGCATCTGTACTGGTGTCAACTCCCACAGCAAAAAACCTCCCAGAGCATCCACAGGCAAAAACAGGTAACACTATTCATGGAGAAAGGGTCTTCTAGCATAAGCATTTCCTCATATCCTGAGTCATCCGCCGCTCTGGCTGACTGCCATACAGAAGGAAACACCTATCTGCATAACAGGAAGCCATGTTCAAGACTGCTCATGTAGGGAAAACTTTGGAAGGTCTGGGTTTAATTTAATAAGGGATCCTCCTCCTCAAACTAGCAGCAGTTACAAAAATGAAACATTTAGCCAGGTGGTGGTGGCAGTGGCCTTTAATCCCAGCACTCGGGAGGCAAAGGCAGGCAGATCTCTGTGAGTTTGAAGCCATCCTGATCTACAGAATGAGTTCCAGGACAGCTAGGGCTACTCAGAGAAATACAGGAGGTGGGGCTGGGGGGCATCTTTAGGAAGAAAGCAAGCCAGAAACCCACCATTTTCGAAATAAGTAGCATCATCCAGGAGGAGAAGCAGCATGAGTGCACCTTCGGTGGATGCCACACACTTCACACACACACTGCCCTCATTTCTCCCCATTTCCTACATGGGGAAGCCTGGCTTTCCTCTCCTCCCTCTTTATGAAGCTGCTGAGAAGCTAGTAAGGCAGGCTTCATCACACACAAGTCTATGGGGTCAAATTAGTTTGTATTTGTAGGGCAGAGGAGGGCTGGAAGGGTAAAAGGAAGCAAGCAAGCTCAGTCTCATCCATTTTGGAGCCTGGAAGCATTCCTGACCCCACGTGCCTGCTGAGAGCCCTGCCTGGGAATCCTGGAGATGGAGTGTCTGAGGCTGCCAGGCCTGCTGAAATGACCATTAGGCAGCCCAGCACCCTCCCATTGCTGTGGGGGCAGGGGACAGTCTGGCTGCTGTCCGGCAGCCAAGACAGAACAAAGGCTTATTCACTGACTCAGCTTCTCTCCCAAGGGGGTGAAATGGTGTTGACTTACTGTTTTTCCCTCCCTTTTTATCAGAGAATAAGAGCTCCCTGCAGAGCTAAGACAGCACTCAGCAGGGATAGGGAGCTGCCCCAGCCAAGGCCTGGCTGCACCTCAGTGGCCTAAGCCACCAGGACAAAGACCCAGCCAAACTGGAGTTCCCTTCCACCCCCACCTTTAGCTCTTCCTCCCAGGAAGCCTGACTGGTGGCTGCCCACCCTTCCCAGCTCTGGGAAGCTCCCTCCATCAGCCAAGCCCCAACGCCTTGCAGAGTTCAAGACTGCAGCCAGAAATGCAAGCTGGACTGGCCAGAGAGAAAAGAAATGAAACAAAGCTGCAACCTGCCTCTGGCTTCCTACTCTAGATTATGGAAACAATAGAGACCCTTCAAAGCAGTAATCTTCAATGATTACTCTGAACGACAGCTATCTCCAAGTCAGAAGCCATGCTGTGCCACCCTGCTGCTCTGGGTAAGTTTTCCAAGATGGCTACTGCACCGGCACACAACTGTATGCCCAAAGCACACTGATTCCATCCTCACAAGAGACGTGTGAGCCATCCATTATCATCTCAGACATGAAAAGGCTGATGGGGGGGGGAGGGTAGAGGGAAAAAAAGGAGAGGGAGGGGGAAGAAGAGAGAGAGGAATGAAGGAAGACAGAGGAGGGAGGGTTGTTAAACTACCTTTTCAAGCAAGAGCAGAGCTAGGATTAACCGAGCAATAGTGCTGGGTGGGTCATCGTAGCTCATTCCCGACCTAAGGGGTTAACTGAAGCCCAGAAAAGGTAAATAATGTGTGCACTAAATAATGTGGCAGCAACAACTAAAGAGAACTCTAGAGTAAGATCTTGTTGTTTGTTTTCTAAACTCAGTCCTTCTTTGAGCAGTTTCTCTCTCTTATACTGCCCTGAGTGATTTAAATTTCAATGAGGCTACTGGGTTTTGACAGACTTTCTGGAGATAACTGCCAGTCTTTCGATAAAGCTTCCTGTCCAGCCAGATGTGGTGACTCATACCTCATGCCCATAATCCCAGCAACCAGGAAGTCCAGGCATAAAGACCACAAGTTCCTGGCTGAGCAGTTAAGAGCATTTGCTGCTCCTTCAGAGGATCCAAGTTTGATTTGCAGCAACCACATAACAATTCACAGCCCTCCAGGTATGGACATGGTGCAAACATACATGCAAATAAAACACCCACACAAATAATTTTTAAAGAGGCTGGGGTAATCGCTCAATAGCCAAGGAGCACCAGCTGCTCTTTCAGAGGACCCAGATTGGATTCCTAGCACCCTCTTGTGGCTCACAACCATCCATCTGTAACTCCAGTTCCTGAGGGTCCAATGTCCTCTCTGTCCTTTGAGGACACGGTACACAGACATACACATAAGCAAAACACCTCCCCACACACCCCCACACCTCTCAAACACAAATAAATAAGAGAGAGTGTGTGTTTGTGTGTTCCTGGCCAGCCTAGGTTAAAGAATTGGAACCTATCTCAAAACAAAACAAAACAAAACAAAACACACCAAAACCCCACATGGTCTAGCCTGGACTCTGAGGACATGCTACTTTAACTCTTGTAGGTCTCAGCTCCTCCTTGGAAGACGGTTTCAAGGACATGATGAACTTTGGACAAAATCAGCAGAGGAAGGCATACAGCAGGGCCCCACTTATGGAGAGAGCATGAAACAAACATTGACTACTGCGATTAGAATCTGATTATCTGAATATTGTTCAGCTGCTTACTAACAATATTTACCAATACTCCTGGGTGGCTGCATGTGCAAGGGGAAACATTCTCATTTAACAGGCAAGAGACCTACCAAGCAGAAGCTGCTAGAAACGACATTCAACTTGCAGCTCTTGCCCTGACATCTGTTCCCTAAGTGTGGGGAGACAGAGGCTCAGAGCTTGTTTCTAGCTCACATGTGGTTTCCTGTTGTACAGGTTGTTCTCAGAGACTGTTTGCTAAGGAAAGGGGTGGGCCGGAGGTTAGTGACAGCAAGTCTGGTGACTTAGTGCCTTCCCCTTAGTTTACAGGAAAGTAAACTCAAGGTCATATGGCAGCCCCATGACAGCCTACAAGAGTAAAACTTAAAAAGACCTGGTTTCTACACTTGGCACCAGCTGAGCTTGGAATTAAGGGCAAGTTAGTTCAAGCACCTGGAAGGTCTAGAAACTGTCACAAGATTGGAAGGCAGCCAAATGCTGTCCAGAGGCTGAGGAAGAGAGGAAAATTTCAGGGCTCAATGTGCATGGTTTGGGTCAGTGAATTGTATAGGCAGAGCAACTACACTGTTTCTTCAAACTTTTTAAATGAGCAAGCAGGTGTCCCTGGACCTGCGAGTCAAGATGCTTCTGTGGGCCACAACCTCAGTCTGGGAGTCAGGATGCTCTCTCAGGTTGACCTGACTTGGAACCTATCTGCTCTCTGACTCATGGAAAATCATAGAAGCCCTTAAAGTCATCTGTTGGAGCAAATGTGACAGCTAAGATTTAAAGCAACACAGTCCACAGTAGCCTTTTTCAAAACTATGGGAGCTGCAGCGTCATCATCTTCAACTCCCAACTGATGAAGAAACTGAGGCCCAGAAAACGTAGGGATATAGTACCCACAGTCAAGGCTAACTTACAGACGAGCACAACAGCTACTATTTACCAACCAGTTACTGTGTGCCTTGCCCTAAGGTAGGCAGTCCCACACCTTCACCCCATCGGAATGCTTTGGACTGGTAACAAGAAGCAGCCTGCCCAGTCACCCAGATGGTAGCTTGGTCCACCATACCCTGGATGTGTAGCTGGCAGAGCACCTATTCCCTCTGGCCTTGGTTTCCTCATCTGAGAACTGGGAAGTACAGCATTTACAAGAGCGACTGTGAGCATAGTCTGAGGGCTCAGGAGGAGGAAGCAAGGTTCAAAATTCAAGGAGCCAGTCTTCGTGACATACAACTTTAGGACTCAGGAGGCAGAGGCAGCCATTTTTCTGGGAGTTCAAGGCGAGCCTGGTCTACCTAGAGAGCTCCATGACAGCCAGGGTTACATATTGCAGCCCTATCTCAAAAAAAAAAAAAAAAAAAAAGCCATAAACAACAAAAACGCTACCAACAAAGTTTAAGGTAATTTTTCTGCCGTACAGTGAATTCAAGGCCAGCCTGAACTACAATGAGGCTGTCTCAAAACCAAAAGTGGAGCTGGGCATGCTAAGCCTTTGAGGCAGGAGAAGCAGGTGAGCACTGCTGTGCTGTAATCACCCCACACTTCCTCTTTTCAATCTGTCATGTGGCTGATGCCAATTCCTCTAAGAACACTTTAGGTTTATAAAATGATGGTTGAGGGGCTGGAGAGATGGCTCAGTGGTTAAGAGCACTGGCTCTCTTCCAGAGGACCGGAGTTCAATTCCCAGCACCCACATGGTAGCTCACACCATCTATATCGGATGCCCTCTTCTGGCCTGCAAGTACACATGCAAATAGTGCATTCATATACATAAATTACATAAGTAAGTAAATCCTTAAAAAAATAATAAAATGATGGCTGACACACTTCAATATGACTCGGACATGGCTCTCACTGCTGGACAGTGCAGGCCACTGTATCATTTCCCTTACAGTAAGGCTTCTCCGGTCCCAAAAAAAACAGCCGATCTTTGGGGCTGGAAGTCAAATACTCAGATTTTGTCCAAGAACAGCCAGTGATGTAACAAGAGCTTTGATTCTCAGAACCTCACGTCGCTTGATAGACTTGCCCCACATGGCTTCTCAGACCTTTCAAAATAAGCATCCCTCCTCCTGCAGCCTGCCCCTGCTTCCCAAGCAGCCTCTTGTACTCTCATATCTAGCAAGGAGTAGCAAATGGGTTTTCTTTTGTAATCATGTTTTTTCTTCTCCCTGCCCTAGAGGACATCCCACTGATGAAATTTAAGCTCCACCTGTGAGGCTGCAAGAACCTTTTCCAGTAGGGGGATGTTTTGACACGGTCTCACTCTGTAATACAGACAATCCTACAAATGGAGACAACTCACCTCCTGGTGAGCGTAAAGCTCGTGCCTTGTTTTTTTGTTGGTTTGTTTTCGCTTTCTGAAGCAGGGCCATAAGGCTCCCGCCTCAGTGTCCTGAGTTCTGGGATGACCAGTGTGTGCTATCACACCCATCTTAGCAGCACAAAAGTCAACAAATTAAATCTTGTCTCCTTCAGAAGATAGTGACACATGCTTATAAACCCCACATCTCAAGAGGCTGAGGCACGAGGATTATGAGTTTGAGAGAACTCATTCAATATCAGCCAAAGATGGAGACCTTGTCTGGGAGAGGATCAGTTATCTAAGTCTTTGCCCTGAAGGTCCAAGTCACCTGGTAGTTGACTAAAACCAAATTTCTACTCTTGAGCTGGTTTTTCTTCCTTCAATACCTCACTTCCTTTTTAAAGACCCCAAGAAGGTGTACGGATACTGTCTCTCTTCCTTAGCCCTATTCCAAGAGAGCCAGGAAGAGAAACGACTCACCTCTTGTACGTGTAGCCCAAGATGATGCCAGCTCCAATGCCGATGATTATCACCATCATTGTAATGCCCAGCACGTAGCCTGCAAAGGATAGGACACAAGGTCCTATTAGCCACACCCCAGGCAATCAGCAAATGACGTCATCCGATGAATCCCAACAAAGGCAGTGGTGTGGTAGGGCAGCCATACCCAGAGTTCCCAGGTCCTTTTTTTCCTTGGAGTTCATCCTCACGCGCTGACTGATCCCGACCACTGGCTGCACCTCCGCTGCCTCACTCCTGGCTGGCAGGGCGTTAGCAGGAGGGAACACCTGTGTCTCTTTGTCACCTGGGGCATCAGCCTTCTCTTCCAGCTCCACCGTCGAAGAGGCTGGCGGTGCCTGGGATGTGGTCTCTGGCAGTGAGGTGAGAAACGGCTCTCATCAGATACTGTCGTCCTGAGTACATTCCACAGCTAAACCTGACCTGAGTGTTGGGAGCATTAGGGGAGAGGTCCGCCCTAAAATAGTCCCCTAGACTGATATCAAATCCTGCCTCAGGCCAGCAGGGGTGAGTGAACACCTGAATTAACGCACATGGGAGGCAGAGGCAGGGGGATCTCTGTGAGTCTCCGCCAGCTAGGGCCGTACAGTGAGACTGTCTCAAAAACAGAAAAGGGGTGGGGGGAACTCTCCTGTCCCAGGGACAAAATCAGGCACGGTGGCTGGGCTGTGCTACAAGGCAGATGTGAGGAAAGGGTCACAAGAAAACAACAGCCATTCTCCTGCCGCCCACTTGTCTCTTCAAGTCTTTGCTACCTTCCAGCATCCAGCTGGGCTGCCAGAGGGTTCTCCAGAGAGCGCCCTGACTTCTCATCAGGAGGCAATCCACAGAATGCAAGATTCCTGCCAATCCCAGTGTTAAGTGCCTGACTTTGATTATTTCATTTAATCCTAGAGAACTGTGTTAATTTCCTGAAGCCTAAAAAGCTTTGGATTCAAATCTGGCCACCCTCATTTGCCTTTGGCAGATCGCCGAACTTCTGGGTGACTCAGGTCCCCCCCCCCCCAGGGCCTCTTCCCCGGGATTGTGAGCACGGCGGCCGGGTCACGGCAGACGCCACACCGTGAAGGCCGGAGCTACGCTCTGGGGAAGAGGCGAGCTGCCTCCCACCGTTGTTTACAAGTGCCCGCGGAGGATGAGATCACTCCGAAGGCCTCTGCGGCCAACCGGCTTCGGGCTCCGCGGCCTGGAGATAGCTCTGACCAATCGGAAGGCGCGGGGTGGGGGGACGGGGCGGGGCGGGCGTCGAGCGGCCGCACGTGCGCGGCGGGTGTAGCCGCGGCTGCTGGGGGTGGGGGAGCGGCTGGCGTCCCCACCCCGGGGTCCCGGGCGGGTACCTGGACATCGCACGTCCTCGCAGGGCCGCTTTTCAGGGACGCCGGCCTCGCCGCTGACGTAGCACCAGGGCCCGCGCGGGTCCTGGTCCGGGTTCCGGCAGTAGTTGTGGTTGCCGGGGCCTGAGGTGGGGAGAAGAGGCGTCAAGGGCCGCGGCCGCCGCCCGCCAGCCCCGCCAGCCCCGCCCGCCTCCCCGGCGGGCACTCACCGGGCTCGGCAAGCGACTCGCGGCCGCTCTGTGCGGCCAACCAGTTGAGACAGCGGAGACCCGGCGCGGGCGAGGCCTGGTCCTCCCGGTACAGGTGGCCGTGGTCCCAGAAGCAGCCTGTGAGGAAGAGGACCCTGAGTGCGGCCCTCTGGCCCCGCGCGGGGGGGAAAGCCCTGTGTGCCTCAGAGTGAAAGTGGAGATCTCGTGTCCTGCCCCTAGCGGCGTCTGGTCCACAGACAACAACACTCAGAGACTTAGCCGCTCGCTCGCTCGCTCGCTTGCTTGCTTTTTTTAAGCTTGGGATCGCTGCACAAGTGCAAAGGGTTGTTACTCTTGGACTTGGAACCACTGTGGAGACGCAGGAAGCCTGGCTAAGGTCTTTCTGTGGAGATGGTGAGTTTGGTTCTGGGCAGTTAGACCTGGAAGTCATCCCAGTGCTGAGAAGTCCATGTTATATAAACGCATGTTCCCTTCTCCACCTTCTGCTAGGTTGACAGACACCGCCAGCTCCCGAGAGAATTCCACTAAAGCCTTTGATTCAGAGAAGCAAAAGATTCAAGAGACACTCCAGCTGAGGCACTCTGCCTCACCGCTTCAGCTCCTACTCCCCTCAGCAGAGCCCCAGGAGGAGACTGGAGAGGGGAGGAGGTCTGTGTGCCCACCGCACTAGGGCTTTAAAAGGGCAGGACTCTGGGGAGTAAACGAAATGAATTCCCAAGCTCCATCCACTCATGTATAAGGAAAGGGAAAGTGACTACTTGTCTTTGTTCTTAATGGCAAAGATGGAGCTGCGAGCCTCTGGCAAGGAAGGAGAGAGGGAAGAAAAGCTTTCGTAGGATAACAAGAAAACAGCCAAAAGCGTCCTTCTGTGTCAGCCCGGCAGCATTTGGGAAATCGGGGGCTTTACCCGTTCTGCTTCATTAAGTTGCTGCAGAAAGGAAAAATAAATAAATAAATTGTGATCTCACCTCCAGATCCATAGGCTTCTGCCAGAAGCATGTTGCTGAGAAGAAATGTGCGTACCCAAGGCAACAGCATCCTCGCCTCTTCCGGCTTGCAGGTGTCCGAATGGGGTCTCCTTGGCAGCAGTCTTGTCTCCTAGATCCCAGCCTTGCAGTGAGACCAACCCTTGTTATGCTCTTCTGGTAAACAGCCTCTCTTTAGAACTGGGACCTTCCCAGCTAGCTTGCTGCAGCCGAGGTGTTTTTCAGCTGAAAGGCGCCCCCTGGGTCCTAAGCCTCCTAGATCGTACCAGATCGCTAACCCTGAGCCAAGAGAGGAACTCAGCCAAGTCAAGAGTGGCAGAGAGGTTTTGCTTAGCCGCAGATCCCTGTGAGACCTGCACGACCGCATCCCCAGGCGTTGCCTCTTTTTCCATCTGTGTGAGTACAGAGTCATTGTGTCAGAAGGCGGCGTGGAGTGGGGTGGATTAGGAACCCTAAAGCATTGCACAGTTGTGAGATGGGATGCTGACTGCAAAAGCAGGAAGAATTTAAGACCACATAGGCGGCACAGATAAGAATATCTGGCAGGAAGCAACTCTATACCCATATTTATATACTCAAAATATGCTTTGCCAGGGTCAGGTCAGTCAGCATTCCTGTACCCACATTTGAGGTTTGGGGTATCCATATATAGTAGGAACACAGAAAGTATCTTTAGTTAAAAATACATGTTATACAAACACTAGATTTGCTTAGCTATATTGTAAAGTCCACCAGCCCTGAAGTTAAGTAAAATGTCTTCCCTCCAGCCCCCACACCAATCTGTGCAGTAATTTATATCTATTGTTAAACCACATCCACCACGTAACTCGGGGCTTTGAGACTTAGGAAAAAGGCCCTCTTTTTAGTTGGCTGGCAATTGAGGTTCCCAAGCAGCCTCAGTAAACTGAGAGAGAGAACAGAGTGGTTTGCCAAGATTACCTTGTGACTCAGGGAAATCCCAGAATAGAAATGGGAGACTCTGTCTTGATGTTGCCACAATAATGTAGGGAGGGAAAATAACACTACTAAATAAGTTTATAGACTTTATCACAGTAGAAAGCTAATGTGGTTCTAATTAGAAGTGATTGAACCCTGTGGTGTCTTTTAAAGGAAAAGGTTTGTTTGTGTTTGTATGTCTATCTGTGTCTGCCTTCAGAGGCCACAGGAAAACTTCAGGTCCTCTAGAACAGGGTTCTAGAGGCAGTTACGAACCATGGGATGTGGCTGATATGGGCAATGTGAACTCCGGTCAGATCCTTTGGAAGAACAGCAGGTACTCCTAACCTCTGAACCCAACCCACCTGAGGTGTTCTGTGAAAACACTACGTTGGAACTGGAAAGATGACTCAGTGGTTAAGAGTACTTGTTGCTCTGACAAAGGACTTAGGTTTGGTTCGGTTTCCAGTATGCAGCTCAAGGCCATCTGTATCCAATTCCAGGGCATACAGCTCCATCTTCTGACTCTGGGTACCAGATACTCACATGGTGCACATACATGCTGGCCAAACACTCATACAAATAAACACGCACAGAAGAATGTGTGGTGGGGCGGCAGCCCATGTGCCTATGTGTGTAAATATGGAAGTCAGAACAGGATGTCCAGTGTGTCAGCGCCCTGAAATAGGGTTTCTCACGAAGCCGGAAGTGTGACCTTTAAGCTAAGTTTGCTGGCCAGTGTCCTCCCCACAGCTCTCCAATTCTATGCTCTCTAGTGCTGGGTTATAGGCACACATAGCCATGCCTGGCTTTTAATGTGTGCGGTGCACAGCCATGTTCTTTTAAAACGCCTCAGTTGATAGTATGTTTGCCTGGCATGCCAGAAGCCCTGTTTTATATCCCTAACCCAACACCAACTGAGTAGCAGAGTATAAGCCTTCAATCCCAGCTCTGGAAGTGAGACAGGAAGATCAGAAGATCAAGGTCTTCTTTGGGTGTGTACATAGAGTGTTTGAGACCAGTGTGGGCTACAGTGAGACCAAGTCCAAAACAATTTTTAAAGTTTGATAAACATTTTTGTTAATTTTATAAATATTTATTTTGAAAACCTACTAGATACTAGCTGATATTTTTAGATACTGGGACTTTCTTGTGTGAACAAAATATTTGAAATCTGTACCCTCCTGAAGCTAAATTCTGGTTGGAAGAGACAGATGGTATTTAAATCAGTATTGTTATAGAAAGTGATACAGAGTAAGAGATAAATGGAGTGTTTCACTTCCTAAAAAATAGATGCAAGCTGGGTCCCAGCCTGTAATGCAGTCTTTGGAAGGCAAGGCAGGAGCACTATAGACCGCTCTATTTGGTGGCCTGAACCTGGGAGAGTGGGGCCCAAGAATGAGTCTGACCAAGGTCTCCTGCAGGAGCCATCTTTACTCAGCATCAGAAAATGCATACTCTTTGAGGGTTAAGAAGAATCACATGTGTAAGGTGTTCAATCACAGGGGCAAGCCACACATGGCAAAAACATGTTTGTCCATAGAGATGTATGAATAACCACAGCTGAAGCAAACTCACTGCTTCCGCGACACCTGGGAGGAGCACAAAAACACATTCCAAGAACAATTCTGTGTTTTGAAGAAACCGAGGTGACAAGACTCTTGTTTTCTCACACTCAGAACTCTGACACAGCTCCATTCTTGGACTGTGTTCCATTAGAGGATCATAAGTTTGAGACCAACCTGGGCACCCAACTTCATCCAAGCAATTTAGTGACAACTTGTCTCAAAATAAAAACAAAGGGTAGAGCATGTACATGTGGTGCCTACAGAGACCACAGGCATTTGACAACACGTGTGCAAAAGTGTGGTTTTTAATTCCGGAGGAGCAAAGGTCCTTTGGGATTGATCCCTCAGCACCTAATCAAATGTTCCACCTCTGACTCAGATAGGTGCTTCTGCTGCACTGTTTGTTTGCTTGTTTTCCCCCTGAAATCATTGTAGAGACAGGCTATTACAGGCCAGTCAGCACTTGTATCATTTTCAGAGTATCTGCCATACCCATGTATAGATGCCAGTATGTCTACACCAGAAACCCAGGGGATCTGACACCCTCTCTGGCTTCCACGGGTAATAGCACATACTCCTTCCACGGGTAACGTGCACATACTCCTTAGACATACACACACATGCACACGCACACACTCATACAATAATTGAAAATGAATCTTAACAACTAAATACCAACACTTGGGACCTGGTGTGTAGCTCAGTGACAGACGATTACCCAGCATGCATAGGCCCCAGGTTCCATCACCAGGACTGAAAAAACAAAACTATATATCAAGCATACATAAAATGGAAGTCCATACTTTCAAAGAAATAGCGTTGGGGTTTATTTATTTTGACCAAAATACTACTTCCTTAACAATATTCATAAAACTATTGCCTGCACTTTTTGTTTTGTTTTCTGAGACAAAGAGTTTTTCTGTATAGGTCTGGCTATCCTACAACGCACTCTGTAGACCAGGTTAGCTTCTGAGAGATCCACCTGCCTCTGTCGCCCAAATGCTTGGATTAAAGGAATGCACCACTATACTTGGCATCGCCTGTACATTTTATTCAAAAATATTTTATCACAATCTCAAGGGCTACTTAAATAGCACATCATGCGAATAGACTAACTGGAGCCAACCCATTACAAAGATTTTTACTGATAACTAGCCTGCTTTTGTTGACAAAAGATAAAAAAAAAAAAAAAAAAAAAAAAAAAAAAAAAAAAAACTTGTTTTTTTTAACAAGTTTTTAACAGCTTTATGGCTTCTTTATTGCAGTTCCTCCACTAGCATATTTGGCTATTAAAATGAACTACCTATCCTTCTTGGGAAAGGCTCTGGAGGTTACTTCTTGACATAATAACATGGTTTTGTCTCTGGGTTAACACTCAATTGAATAGAAAACCAGGAGTCTAACTCTTTGAGGTACTTAATAAGATATGAGTGTTGTGCTTAATTGTTGTGTACGCAGTGTTTTGAAGGGCTACCTTATTGGGTTCTTATATCTACACCCTTTGAACCCCCACCACTAGGGAGGAGAGAAGGAAGGTTAGAGGGAAAAGAAGGTGTAGACCTCTTTAGACTACTTCCTGCTGATTAGGGGCATCATGTTCTTAGGGGCCAGTCCAAGATCTAGCAGTAGTAAGGGGAGCAGCCATGCCCACAGACCCCCTGAGGGCTTTCCCATTTATACCCTCTCCACAGTCCCCAGAATTAAACTATCTGCAGCTGGCAAAACACCTTGTGCTCTCCTGGAACACAAGACAATCATAGTTAGCGGCTGTGGTCAATTTGAAGCAGCCTCATATGCCATGCCAGGGATTAAAACAAAAACATTCATATAACTGGGTTTTTGGTGGTGATGTTTTGTTTTTTGTTTGTTGAGACAGGATTTCTCTGTGTAGCTTTGGCTATCCTGGAACTCGCTTTGTAGACCAGGCTGTCCTCGAACTCATAGAGATCCACCCCCTCTGCCTCCCAAATGCTGGGATTAAAGGTGTGTGCCACTACTGCCCAGCTAAAACTGGGTTTTCTTAAGAAACCAAAATTCTTACTACTGTCTGTCTGTGCTGTCTTCAGGGGACAATCTAAAGTATTTGTCTAGTGTGATATCATGGTATTATGACAGTAATGTTTTCTGAAGGAATTGGAAATCTGGAATAACAGTCCATAAAACATAGCCATAATGCAGTATCACATCAAGAAAAGTTCAAGGGCTGGAGAGATGGCTCAGAAGTTAAGAGGACTGACTGCTCTTCCAAATGTCCCGAGTTCAACTCCCAGCAACCACATGGTGGCCCACAACCATCTGTAATGAGATCTGGTGTCCTCTTGTGTCATGCAGGTGTACATGTAAGCAGAACTCTGTATAAATAATAAATAAATAAGTAATTTTAAAAAAAAAAGAAAAGTTCAAATGTGCTTGATCAGAAAAAGACCAAAACATCAATAATGATGACAGGCATACCTGTGAACAAAGCCTGATTTCATTAGCTAGATGTCAAATATATTAGAATGGGCATTTGAAGGACTGGGAATCCCTTTATGTCTGCTTATTTACATATAAACAGGGTTTTAAGCTGGCCTTGAACTCCTGATTTCACCTCCCAAGTACTAGGTCACAGGCATGTGTCACCACATCCAGCTATATATATATATGTATTTTTTTTAAATTAGTTACAGTAGAGAAAAAAAAATATTTAAAAAAAAGTTGTAGCTTCTTAAGGGTTTTTTTGGGGGGGCAGTGCAGCTTCTCAGACACAGCACTGAATACATACAGTATTGTAAAATTTATCAGGAAGACAGCAGTTTTGGGGTGTGTGTTTAGTGAGACAGGGTCTCTCTACATAGCCCTTGCCTGTCTTGGAACTCACTGTGTAGATCAGGCTGTTCTTGAGCTGAGAGA